TACAAATTAATGATAATACATATATATAAATCGGTGATATTTTGAATAAATTAAAGTATTATTATCAAATTAATGATAATACAAATTTTTTATATTATACAAATCGGTGATATTATTAATAAATTAAAGTATAATTATCAAATTAATGATAATACATACTTTTTATATTATATAAATCAGTGACATTATTAATAAATTAAAGTATTATTTTTGATAATACATGAATATTAGACTTATTGTATTATACAAATCAGTAATATTATTAACAAATTAAAGTATTGTTAAAAATTAACAATAATACATATTGGAAATATACTTTTTATAAATATATAAATAAGACCCAATTATCAATATAAATCAGTAAATATTTTTCTTTCTCTAAATTTTTTCAACATATATGACAAGATCAAAAAGAACCTGTTTTTATTAGGATAACACGAAAGATCGCAATATTATTCCTAAAACTACAAATATGTCAAGATCAAAGAAATCTGATAATAAGGTTTCACAAAAAATCGTAATACTCCTAAAACTAGGCATTTGGTTGAATGCAAATGTATTTTACATTGCCATGGTAGTAAATTAGTTGATCCCAAAAAATTTAGGAAACACCAGCAAGAATTAGAAAGATTTAATGCTATTACTTTTGAATCTTAGCATTCTACCTGAACAAGAAGAATTAGAAGCAATAAGGTCGATATATAAACATCATCAACTTTGAAAGGAAAAGAAAGAATCAAATCAGTTGATCAATATCAAAATTTACTGATAATTATTTTAGTGATGATTCAATTCCAATTGATGAGGAACCAATTGATATACAAAAAAAATGAAAACGATATAATAAATTTCGTGATCCTATTTATGATGAATTAGAACCAATTCTAATCGAAGAAGAAAAAGAAGAAAAAGTTGATGATATGTCTACAACAGAAGATGATCACAGGTTTAATGATGATGATTGTAGGTTAAGTGAAGATGATATTCTGTTTGAACGATTTACTGCTCCTAATTTTGATAATCTTGATGAATCAGATCATGAATATCCTGATATAAATGTTAACTTTAATGATCCGTGTATATTGTTATGGATATTCAAGTTTCAAGCAAGATTTCACCTTTCTGATATTGCTATTGATTCACTTATTAAGTTTTTTAATATGATTTTATTATATGCTGATCAGTCACGATTTAAAGACTTTCCTACAAGTTCTTATATAACAAAAAAATGATAGGAATTGATAAACAAGCAAAAATATATATAGTATGTCTAGATTGCAATACATTATATAAAATTTCAGAAATTTTACAAAAAAATGTGAACGATCAGTCAAATAATGGGTTTAAATGCACCTATGTGAAATTTCTAAATCATCTGAGAAAAGGCCAGAGGAGTCCTTGTAAAACAGAAATAACAAAACAAATATTGATAGTTTAAGATTACATTAGAAAATCAAAGATGATTTTTCCCTTGCCATCTTTGAAGGCTCAATTGATTATAATATATAGCAACCAAGATTTGAATCACTTTTGAAAAAATAGACCAATCAGGATGATACTGAACTGATAACTGATATTTATGACAGAGAAATTTGGAAAACTTTCCTATCACAAATTGACACACCTGATTCTTCGCAATTTTTTACATCAGAAACTGCTGATTCCCATTTAGAAATTATGATAAATCTTGATTGATTCCAACCATTCGAGTCATCAGCATATAGTTGTGGCATCATATATGATATTATATGTAACCTTCCACATGAAGTTTGATTTAAAAAGGAAAATATATTAATACTTGAACTACTACCAGATCCTAAAGAGGTAAATTTACATCAGATAAACCACTACCTTTTCCCAATAGTGGATGAATTATTAGAATTGTAGAATAGATATATTATACCAATCTCAACAAAATTTCTGAATGGAAAAAGAATTAGGTTAGCTGTCATTTGCTGCTCAAATGATATTCCAGCTGCTAGAAAATTGTGCAGTCATATGTTGGCATTAACTGGCTGCTATCAATGCTACAAACGTGTAAATATAGGAGGTAGAAAACTAAATTTTGGTGAGTTCAAAGACATGGATGATTGGTTTCAAGAACGAGACCTTGAAGAATATCTCAGAAATGCTGAAGGATAGCAGTAATGCAAAACAAAAGATGAAAGAAAGCAGCATGTTTCTGATACACACGTACGTTGGTCAGAAATGTTAAGGCTACTTTATTTTAACCCAATTTGATATCTTGTTATCGATCCAATGTATTGCCTTTTTCTTGGTATTGCCTATTGAATAGTAAAAAGATTATGGTCTAACAAAATTGATCTTGTATATTGGAAGAACAGGCAAAAATCATCAACCTACCCACTGATTTGGGTCAGATTCCAAATAAAATTTCAACGGAAGAAGGGTTTTTTGACTTTATTACCGATCAATGGAAGACTTTTATTTTAGTATATGCGACTCCATTATTATGGGATCTTTTGGATTTATCAGATAGAGAAATTTTAGTTAATTTTGTTAGAGCTTGCTCATTACTTGTATGTCAAATAATTGACAATAATATATTGACTGAAACTTATGCCTGATTATTATAAGTAACACTTTTAGTTGAAGAAAACTATAGACTAGAGTTTATAACACCAAATATACACCTTTCACTTCATATTACTGAATGCTATCGTAATTATGGTCCTTTGTATTCATTCTGATATTATTCGTTTGAAAGAATGAATGGAGTTTTAGATGAGATTTTATATTGATTGTTATTAAATTATTAAATAATTAAATATATGATTAATAATTATTTAATTTTTCTTTATAGGATCCCTTCCGAGCAGTAAATGACAAATCGAATTAGAACTTCTACATATCATTGTGCAAAATCAAAGAATAGACGAATTAATTTTAAATCAATTGGATTGTTCAAAACTGGTACAAGCTCTTGAATTAATAAAGTTTTGTCCAATAGCTAGAAGTTTAACATCTTATGATGAATTAAATTTTACAGAATTATACCGATTTGTATAAATCTTTCGTCATTTTAATGAAACTGTTATCGGTAATAAGCCATTTCTGAAACAAATGCTTTCTCCAAAAAAGAACGCGTGTTTTTACCAGATAATATTTATGAATTATTAGTTCAATATTATAATAATGCATACGATAGGAAGTTTGTAACAATAGCAGGTGCAATTTCTGAAACATCAACAGAAGATCTCACCATTATTTTGCTATATGTTAATCAATATAGCCATATTAGGATTGGATCTGAAATCTTTAAAGCAATAATTGCATCCCGATATATGAGAATTCATATATATTAGTGAAATTTATACAAAGCGATAAGACGATAGACATATTTCCTGGTGAAGTACAATACTACTTTAAACATTCATTTGACCTTTCAATAGGTACTGTAACACATAATTTAGCATTTGTAAAATGGCATATACATGCTCCTGACCGGCAAACATGATTTCATTGTAAATCTAGCATTAAAGAAAATTTATGTAATATTAAGCTTTGAAAAGATGAATTCTATAAGATTGATAAAGATAGTATCATCCCAGTTCATAATATATATAGTCGATTTATGCCAAGTGAATTTATAGTTGGTGTACGAAAACTGAAAAAATATATAGCAGTCATACCAATTAATAGGCAATTTCATTTGTAATTTAATTTTATCTTATTAAATAAATTTGTAACAATTGGTTTACTTTAATAAATTAATAAATTTGAAATAATTGGTAAAATTGGATAATTTTATAAATTGAAAACAATCGGTAAATTTATTAATATAGAAACCAATCGGTAAATTCTAATTGAATAATAATCATCAATCAGATATTAAATTGATTGATAATTAATTATTAATTAAACCCGATTTGTTACTATTTAATATATAGTTATAAATTTAATAAAATAAATATAAAATCAGATTGGAACCTGATTTATGTAATTCTACCTAATCATTATGATTATGGTATTAACTGATTCATACCCGATTATAGTTTCTACTGATTTCTACCTATTGATTGCTAATCAAAAAATAGTGATCAATTGGGAAGGTACCCAATTTATCAGCGTTCATCCTGTGCAAAATTCGTTAAACGATTTATTATACAAATTTCATTTAAATGAATCGTAATGAATTTCGTTAACCAATTTATAACAAAATTTTATTAAGTAAATCATTCAACAAATTCTGTTAAACAAATCAATAACAAATTTCGTTTAAACGATTAGTTATAATGATTTGTTATAATGAAATTCGCTTAAATGAATCATAATGAAATTTCGTTTAACGATTCTTTAACGAAATTCGTTATAATGAGTCGTAATGAATTTTGTTAACCAATTTGTAACGTAATTTCATTTAACGATTCTTTAACAAAATTCATTATAATGAATCGTAACAATATTATATATTACAATATTAAAATATATAAAGTCATGTAAGAGTGCATTTATATAAAAATTTTTATATAATCAGAATTGAAAATTGTTATACTATGTAGATGAGGATGTATTTAGCATTAATTTCCCAACTTTAGACTAAGCTAAATGGTGCATTTATAAAGGATATATGCATTTATAAAGAGTTGTATATATTTTATTATAAAAAAAAAAATATGAAAAATGTTTTATTAACAATTTATTTTATTTATTTTATAAAGAATGTTAAAATAAAAAAATTTAATTAATATTAATTATTTAAATTAAAGTTAAAATGTGTCTTATTATAAAATAAAATAAGATAATGATTAAAATGTTATTAAACCTAAACTCTCGTGATTCTCTAAGCCTAATTTATGATTGGTTAATACATCGGCACGTGATATTTACATAATATCTATCTAATTTGTTTCGCCGATATTTGTATAGGATATAGGATTGAAAGATCCGGTGGGATGAAAATGATGAAAAGGAGTGTTTATCGAAGAAAATTGTTGAAATTTAATTCTTATTGGTTATTTATTTACTGCATTTTCCATTCAAGCTCTTTTTGACTTGGCAGCCTTTTCCGCAGTGTTTGAAGGTTGCACCTGTAAAAAATACATTAATTAATTAACATTTGTCTTTGAAAAATTCATTACAAAAAATTCAAGAAAGAAAATATTTTGCTTGAATTTAAATTACCGCAAACGTTCTTTTCACTACAGCAAGGTGCCAAGGAGTTACATATCTTTTTTCCACACTTTACAACAGAGGATTTTAAAGACGTTTTTTGTTTGATAAGATTATCAACACCTTTTGTAATACAAACTCCATTAAAACTTTTACCAGGTTGACAACCTATACCGCAATGATCAGTAGTAGAACCGCAAAAGTTGAATCCACTACAGCAAGGAAATTCGGCAATACAGCTGACATCACCGCATTTATTTACAATGGTTGATGGTGGTTGTTCTGGTGTGGGTTCTGGTTCTTTAACTGGTTGATTTTGAGATTTTCCTGGAAGTTCGCATTTTCCATTAAAGCTATGTTTAGGATCGCAACCGGTTCCACAATGTCCCTCGGTAGCACCACAAAAACCGGATGCACTACAACAAGGGAGATTTTCTGGACAATCCTTACCACCCATTTTTGGACATCCCTTATTTTCAGGAAGAAGACCTTTAGCTTGAATAGTAACTAAAAGGAAGAATTAACAATTGTGATTAAAGTGATATGACATAGAAAATAATAATCAAAATAAACAATAGCCTTACAATAGCTTGAAAAACCAATATCTTTTCCAGCAATGATAATGGCATAATCAATTCCAGAAGGAATATTTTCGTCGATAGCGGTTGTACATGTTCCTACTTTTGGATCAAGTGTACATAACTTTCTAAACAATTGTAAATTTTCAGCGGGACCATGAACCAATTTAACATCCACAGAAGGTTCTACTATATTTCCTACTGTCCATTTTACTTCAAGTTTATCTCCAATTTTAAAGATTTCTCCAGCAGGAGGACTCGAAACACCATAATCAGCTGAAACGAATAGTGCAGAACTTAATAACAAAAAGGAAGAAATAAGGATAGAATGCATTATTTTATTTTTTCCTTACGTAAAAAAAAAAGGATAAAGAAATAATGTAGTCGGATGATTTGATATAAAAAGAATGAATGAATGAAATTGATAGTAAAGAATGTATAAAAGAAAAGACTTTGCCACAGGCAAGTATAAAAATTTATCTTTGGTAGAAAAGTAAAAAAAAAAAATTTGCGATGATAAAGAAAATGAGAAGTATGAATTCTCTTTTTATGTATTTTTTATCCAATCATTTTGAAGCGAAAATGCGAATAAAGTTCACAAGGTTTAAAACCAATGGTTTAACAGACATTTTTAAAAATTATTATTTTTTTTTTTAAAATAATATTCTCTTTAACTTATTTTAAAGGGAGTATATGTTAATTCTTTTGGAGCCAATTGAACGTGCAATGCGACCTCTTTCTTCGTCTAGAGATACGAAACGCGATGAAGCTTTGTTCGTTTTCTCATTATTTTAAAACAGACCGATGTAAATTTCATGACCAAGAACGAATTAACCGCATTTGGAAGTGATTATTGAGTTTAATAATAACAAAAGAATCATTCCATTAGATATTTAAGTGGATCCAAATACTTTGTAGTTTCGGCAATCGAGAGTATCCAATTGCGAGATTACCTCTATATCAAGATACTGGAAAAGAAAAGTTTTTACTGATAATAGCGTGCTTTGTGAATCGGTCTATTTTAAGCTAAAAAGACATCCTAGAATGGAACCGATTCATTAGGATTACCTGGTCTTTCCTGCCCGTGTAACTAATTTTGTAGTATTTTAATACTTGAAGTGTAAAATTAACTGTCCTAATAAGGAAGAATTTTAAATTATCTCATGATCCCTATTTGTAATTTGTGCAAATCTTCTACACCTACTAATATATAACCAGCCTTGCTTTTAGGGTTTTACCGACTCCTCGTACGTTTTAAAAAATGGTACAACTTATACGAATTTCGTCTTTTAAAGAATTTGACAACATCATCAATAGAATTGTTCAGGAACGCAGAGGGCAAAACATATTTCTTGTCCTATTCGGTATGTAAATATTGCAAAAATGGAATTCTCGTGTTACATTTATCTATAAATAATAAACATAACATCAAAAGGCAATGAGAATCCATATACTGGAAAATCGTGGTGTCCAGATTGCGTAAACGGTAAAATTTTCACAATTTATTTATTCCTTTAAAAAACGTGCATTTTTTAAATTATCCAACCTATGTAACATCCAGCTGAACCTCTTATCCGTCAACAACTTGACAAAGTACCTGCTGATACTGTGTATATTGAAGTTCCTGTCGGAACGAGAGCAGAGTAAGTCATTTTTTTGAATTTAAGAATTATTTTATTATGAGAAATAACAAAAAAATAAAATAAACAAAAATAGATATAGTGGAAAACCTGATAACCCTTACAGGCTTCACCCAAGAATTCAGCTAAAATCCATTCCAACCTTGATTAAATGGACCGCAAATGCTGAAACTGATAGAAGATTGGTAGAAAGAGAATGTACACAGGTTGATTTATTAAATGCATTTTTCTCGGTTTAATTTGATGTAATCAAATGAATTCATAACTTTTGATAATAAAATATTATTTATTTATCAATTATTTAATTATTACAATAAATAACATTGCATTTGGAAAATTACAATTTTGCTTTAGCCTTGTTAGGTTTAAAGAACTTTTCACTAATATTCTTTCTTTGAATTTTACCGGTAGCAGTTTTAGGCATAACGTCGGTAAAGTAAATTTTCTTTGGTATCTTAAATTTAACAAGAGATTTTCCACAATAATCTTGTAATTCTTTTTCACTAATTTGTTGTTCCTTTTTCAAAATCACGGTAGCATGAACTTCTTGTCCATAAATTTCATTAGGCACAGCAAAAGAAACAGCTTCAGCAATTGAAGGATGTGATAAAAGAACCGAATCAATCTCCAAAGGAGAAATTTTTTCTCCTCCACGATTAATTAATTCTTTAATACGCCCTGTTAAAAATAAGTATCCATCGTTATCAAATTTACCTTGATCACCTGTTCTAAACCATCCATCTTTTGTAAATGATGATTCATTAGCTGATTGATTATTAAGATAACCCGGTGTTACATTTGCGCCTTTAATACAAACTTCGCCTTCTTCAGTTGGGTTTCCATTTTGATCCAAGATAGTTACTTGAACTCCTTGACCAAACCCAACTGATCCAGGTTTATGCGGTAAGGGTGGTAATGGATTGGAGGTCATTTGATGTGCTGCTTCGGTCATAGCATAAGCCTCCAATACAGGTGCTTTATATTTTTTTTCAAGTTCACTTAGTGTGCTCGGTGCGAGTGATGATGAGCATGAACGAATGAAACGTAATTTAGGGGCTCCCCCATTTGGAGAAGAATGACGCAATAAAATTTGATGGATTGTTGGCACTTTTCATAAAGATTTAATCATTGTTCATTAGAAACTGTTGTGGTTCTTTTAACTTAATATAAAGTTTTCCTTACCGGCAGTATACCAAGTACATCCATATTGTAAAAAATGATTCCAAAAATCAGTCGCCGAGAATTTAGGCTGAATTACGACTGTCCCTCCAGATAACAAAGTGGATAGCATTCCACCTATTAAACCATGAACATGGAAAAGCGGCATTACTAATAAAGTGCGATCGCTTGGAACCAAATTATATGTGCGAATTATATTATTCATGGTGGTTATGATATTATGATGAGTAAGTGGGACACCTAAAATTCGTCAATTGGAAATCATTATTATTATTGATGTATTGAATGATTCTTATTTATTTTAAAATTAAATTCACCTTTGGGACGCCCGGTCGTTCCGGATGTATGTAACAAGAGAGCGACATCGGTATGATAAGGATTACGTTCTTGAAACTTTCCCACTATTGCTTTTCCACTCTGGACTCCCAAATTAATCTGATGGTTATGATTATCCCATGCTATTTCAAAAATTACTGCATCAAAAGCTTTTGCAGCCTTTACAGCAGCTTTATTTTGTTGTACCCAGCCTTGTGGTACAATCATCACTTTACTTTTGGAATCCTCTATGTAAAATTTAAATTCATCTTCTGTATAATTTGGATTTAAGGGCGCTGCTATGTTTCGAAACAACGTAATTGCTAAAAATGCTACCGTAAATTCCAACGAATTTGGTAAAACAATTGCAATAACTTCTTGTGATCCTATATCACATTTTTCAATAAGCTGTCGTTGAAATGAATTGATTTGTTTAAATAACTGTGAATACGAAAGCTCTGCTCCACTATTTGGAATGATAATGGCCGATGAAGTCGATTTATGTGAAAATACATCTGCAAGAGTTGTCATAATTACAATATCTACTATCAATGATGAAATTTTTTTAAAAGTCGTGTGTGATAAACGTGATAATCTAATCACTAAAAATTTAAAAATTATCATCCAATAAAACGATAGCATTTAATCTAATTCTATTTTCTATTTTTTAACATTATGCTTATTGCTTTAAAACATGTACGGAATAATTTTTACAAACTTCGTTTGTCTAGAAACTATTCCATCTTTAGTCCAATTACAAGATCACCTTTTACAGTTCTCGGAATTGAAACTTCTTGTGACGATACAGGAGTCGCAATTGTGAATTCAGATCGTCAAATTATAAGTGAGGCTATCCATCTTCAACAACAATTACACGAACCATATGGAGGAATTGTTCCAAATTTGGCTATGTCAAGTCATCAACAAAATTTACCACTCGTAATACGTGAGGCTTTAGATAAAGCAAACATGGATATCGCAAGGGATATTGATGTTGTTGCAGTTACAAGAGGTCCAGGACTTCCTGCTTGTCTAGGAAATGGATTGAGTGCCGGTAAAGCTTTAGCTGCCGCACTTCGGTAAGAACAATAACCAAAAAAAAATGAAATGAAATGAATACGTAAATGAAAATTGCTCTAATCTTCCCTTGTTCTCGTTTCTTTTGTAGTAAACCATTAATAGGCGTTCATCATATGGTATGTATTTTCAATTAATGTATAACTTTATCAATTATGATCAATGAAAAAGATAAAACAATTCATCTTCTTTTAGCTATAACTTTATACATCAAATGTGTCTATCTGTTTAGGAGGCTCATGCGCTTACAGCACGTCTTACTCAACCAATTCCTGTACCTTTTCCTTTCTTAACACTTTTAATATCAGGTGGACACACTCTTATATTGGTAGCACATGGTGTTAATAATTATACTCAACTTGGAACTACTATAGATGATTCAATTGGAGAAGCGTATGATAAAACTGCTCGTTTACTTAAACTACCTTGGTTGAAAGGTCGTGGAGGTGGACCTGGTGCTGCGTTAGAACGAATTGCTGAAAAAGGAGACCCCAAGAAATATAAAGTTCCAATACCAATGACAAAAGACAAACGTAGAAAAGAAGAGATGGATTTAAGTTTTAGTGGGTTAAAAACATCAATAAGTAACTTGATTACAAATTATAACTTAGATTTAGACGATGAGGACGTAAAAAGAGATTTAGCATCGACTTTTCAGAAAACAGCTATAACTCATTTAACAGATAAATTAGAATTGGCCTTCCGATGGTGTAGGGAAAAGGACATAAAGTTAACAGCTTTAGTTGTGAGTGGAGGTGTAGCTAGTAACAAAAGCATTCGTTCGAGGTATGTATATTTTTTTTTAAAAAAAATTATTGTTTAAACAAATTGAGATGACAATTACTCGATATATTTTAAGTTTGGAATCATTGGCAACCGAACGATATAACCTTCCATTAATTTGCCCGCCACCGCACCTATGCACTGATAATGGCGTCATGGTTGCATGGACAGGCGTGGAACGTTTTCGTATAGGCTTAGTGGATGAATATATAATTGACCACTTGCCAAGGTGGCCAATTACAACTTTAGGATCTTAAGGATTGGCTTAATAAAAAACACTTTATGAGCTGCAAATTTTTAAACCGATTTATTAAATGAGCACCTTGTTCAAATTTGTAAATTGTAGCTGTTTCATCTTTATAAGTTACTTCTCACACTTGATATTCTTTGAAAAAAGTAAATCTGATGCATTTAAAATTGCTTTAAAAATTTTATTCTTAAAAGAATTGATAATGTTGATAATATTCCTTCAATGGTTTTCTGCTTTTAAATTTAAGGTAATAAAGTCAATTTGAAAATATTTATTATTATATATTTATTAATATTATAAAATAAATTAAAGTTGTATTATTTAATAATATTTACTAAAAAATGATTTTAATTAAATATATTAAAAATTTTTAAAAAATTATGATTAAAATTTGGATTACCATTTATGTAAGGGATAACTTTTTTTATCAACTTAAAAAATTATATAAGTAAATATTTTATTACTAATTTTTATAAATTTAGAATGTAAGTAAATAAAAAAGATTATTTGCTAAGAATTTTAAATTATGAAAATCCAATTATTATACAAGGGGAATAATTCAAAATATCTATTTCCAAATGAACATCGTTTTTCGGGTATCAGCTGCTGTCTGTCAAACCTTTAAAAATTCACAATAAATTTCTTAAAGAGAGTGGTTTACCTCTACAGATTCATTTTTAGAAAAAAGTTATGCGATTAAATAATTGAAACGGAATATGTAAACCCTCACTCGTGAAAATCATATGCATGATTGTTTAGCACGTGATAAAATATACGAAATTTTTCGTGAACGGAATAAAACGCAAATAAAATAATAATTAAAAATTCCTTTAATAGATTTTTTTAATGTTGAAAAAATCATGAAAAAATTTTTTCCTGATATTTATATATTTTAGTTCATTCTTAAAACATTATATTTTTCTTTTGAATCGAAAAAGGTTAAGAAACAATAATCTATTATTCCCGAAATAGACAAATAATGAATAATAGTAGCAATTAATATTTGATTAATAATAATTATTCTTCTTTAGGTAAAAAATAACTCTTTATCGAAAAACATCGGTATTTCTGAAACTAGAATTATCTTTCAAAGCATCGTTATGAGTTTTATACTCCATAATAGTATCAGAGGGCAAATTCAAAACCTTTTTCATCGTATCTCTAAAAAAAAAAAATAAAAATAAAAAAGGAATTTTAAAATAAATCAAATAATTCTTTTTAGGAAAAAAATCTTTATCAAAAGCTAACCTTATTTTTAAATTAATTCTTCCTTCATGTGCAGACTGGTTCCACAGGGACAAAATGTCCTCCGAACTGCGAATGGACAGCACCGCACCGCAAATTTCCGTTCCAACATCAAATTGATCACCAATTACCGCCATTACCTATAAAAATTTTACAAAGAATTCCGTTAATAATCTATATTTTTTGATATTTAACCACAGGATAATTAAAAGTTATAACTTACCAAACTCTCCCAATATCGACTTGCCAAACCTTTCTTTAACCTCACAATCCACTTACCGCCATTAATATTTGTATCATCCTATTAAAAATTAAATAAAATAAATAATTCTTTTAGAATATTCTTATAAATAGATATAAAAATAATTAAATAATCATTATTTCATAAATAATTTTTTCATAGTTCCTGTTTTTTGATTTTTAATATGAAAAATTTTATCATGATAATTAGATATTTTATTAAAATATAAAAATAATTAAATATTAAATAAACACAAACCTCCCAAACAGGTCTAACACCTTGTTTAAAAAGATGATAATCACTAATATTAGGTAACTCATTGGGTCTTCGAAGATGACTATAAACTGCCCAGAAATCTTCTATCTAAAATAATATAAAAGAAATAAATATTTGGTATATATTTAACAAATTAACTGAATAAATGAACAAGATATTGGAATAAAAAGAAGGAAAAACGTCCATACTAGATTTCGATAGACTCACCGAAGAAAATGCTGCAATCTTTTTCATAGAACTCTCGTAATTTGTTATCTTACTCCCAGGATTACGATGCATAAACCAGAATACCCAAGTAAAGTGCAAAGGGTGAATCTCACTAGTGGGACTCGGTGTGAATTGTTGACGTGGCAATACCAAACCATTACTACTATTTCCATTTTCTTTTTCTTTATTATCCTTATCCTCTCCTACTACACTGCCTGTAATACTCAACCGATGTTTAGCAAGATAACCGCTTCCACCGCTACTGCTCCCCAACCCAGAGCCCATTCCCAGGGGCGTTGTTGGTGCTAGAAGAACAGCGGAAGCGGAAATATTGCCAGTAACTCCATTTGGCGAATTTGTACGTTGAAGTTGGATGAGTTTTGTTGACGCTGTTGAAGTTGGGGTTATTGCAGTAGGAGTCGTGGTTGTGGTGGTTGTAGAACTATTGCTATGGTCAGTGTTAACAGTTAACCGATTGCTATTTATAAAATATTAAAATATTAGGAAATATTGTTTAGTTATTTTATATAAAAGAATTTTTTGATTTTTAGATCAAATACAAGTTGCTTTATAAAGTTGAAAAAGGTAATTCTAACCACCAAAACCAAGTCTACTTTTTCATACCTGCGCTTGTTGTTCCACACAGATTCCATTCCTCTTTTTTAATATCTTTTATACTTTGAAAGCTTTCTTTAGAAATAATCAATTTATTTAGAAGTGTATTTTGTAAGAAGAGCAAAGTTTAAATAAATTACAGTTTTTTTTTTAGAGATAATATTTATCGAAGAAAGAATTTTTTTACGAAAATAATCAAAAATAAGAATTTCAGAATTTTTTTTTTTGATACCCTTTGTGTCTTCATTGTCCTGATGTGAGGCAAATGCCTAACTAATTTTATTGGTTGGAAGATCATTAAACATCACGCGTCATCTCTTTACACGAATCTTTTTTTCCATTAAAACTATTTGAAACCAGATTTAGACCCAGCTGTTGAATTACTTCCTTCAACACAGCAATTTCAATGTTCAAAAACAAACCCGATAAAGTAGACATGCATTGTCACGTGATCTCGTGTGATTATAAAAATGAAAATCAGTTTGCTTACTGTATTTCTTGGAGATTGTTTTCTATTCGGTTTCTTTAGTAAATGGCCAGGGGAAAACAAAAGGTATATTGTTATGTTAAGCTTGTAATGTTTTATTTTAGGGTTATAAATATTTATGTTTATTTTCTACTTTGTCGATAGGAACAAGCTAGGTAAGTTCTTATTCGTATTGTTTCATTTACTTGACTGTCAGCCCAATTTTCATATATTTATTTATTTATTTATTAGAGAAAAGGCTCAAAAACAAGCCGAAAATAAACCTGGAGGTAAATCTCAATTAGGTGCTCGTGCTGCAGGTTTGCAATTAAAATGTCCCGTTTGTAAGGTAGGAATTATTAAAATTTGGCGTTCATTAATAATTATATTTATTTTATTATTGTTTTTTATTAGACCCCTACAGCTAATTACAAAATTATCGTCCAACATATGGAGGTATAATTAATATATTTTCGGGGATAACTTAAGATTTATTTGCAATAAATTTTTTGATTTCTCACTTTTTTTTGTCACAGGCAAAACATCCTAAAGAAACCATACCTCCCGAATCAGATTTTCAATGAAACTAGCTGATGATACCATTCTAATAATTGCATAAAATAAAAGAAGGAATAAAAAATAGGACTCGGAGGGTTTTTATATCTTGTTTTTTTTTTTTTTTGTAAAACCTATGTGAAAATACAAAATAAGTTGATGTAGTGATGTAGCAACTGGTTTTTATATATAATATATGCAAAAATTTGCAAAAAATAAAAATATGATTTGTTTTATTAATAATGTATAAGATTTGTTTAAAATTGAGAATTAATTCTTTTAATTTACGGTAATATATAATTTGTTTAAACGGTAATTTTCAATTGATACATTATAAATAATTTTTATGAAATCAATTTCTAACGAATTAGATTCCTTGGTGTAGTTGGTTATCACATCAGCCTAACACGCTGAAGGTCGCCAGTTCGAGCCTGGCAGGAATCAAAATATTTTTAATTTTTCCCAGAAAACATTTTTTTTTCAATTTCAAAAAAAATTTTATTGAAAAATAATTAATTAAAAAAATTTTAATAATTATATTTTTTTTAATTTATTCAATTTTTCTTTTAAATTCTTAAGTATTAGTAATAGTATTATAATACCTTTATAATATAATATCTTATTATCTCAAAAAATATTTTATAAAAAAATTATTTAGAGTTTCTATCTTTTCTATTGTAAAAAACCTATATATTGAATATTTCAATAATTTATTTAATAAACAAATTTTTTTGTATTTATATTATTGTATATTTTATTAATATTTATAATTTTATATAGATAAATTTAGATAAATAATATTTTTAAATTCATTTTATAATATAAAAATAATAAAATATTAATATTTTAAATTTTAAAAAAATTTATAAACTATTATTAGATTTAGAACTTAAAAATTTATTGCAAATTTAATAATTAAAGTAGTTAATTATTTATCTTTACAAATATAAAACTAAATTAATATTTTATTTTATTATTATTATTAAATAATTTATATAATTTATAATTGATTTATAATAAATTCTTATAATTAAATTAAATTTAATTTAAATATAATTTAAAATAATAACAATTAATTAAAATACTTAAAATTTAGTTTTATTATATTAAATTTATATAATAAATTTTTTAATTTTAATTTAATTATATAAATTATAATTTTAAAATTACTTTATATTACTCTTTTTTTTTTTAAAAAAAAAAAATAGTAATAAAATTTTATAATCTATTAAAATTAAAAAAAAAACTACTTTTGAAATTCTTCTACCCTATACCTAACAATCAATAATCAGAAATATATCATACTTCATTTTAATGGACTAGTAATTGCTTCTCCTATTCAATCTTTATTAAAGAATTTACATAAAAATCAATTATTAACTAACTAAACTTCTATTTATTATTATTTATATGTTTTTTTACTTTTATTTCTATAAATGTAAAACTTAATTTTTATATATATATATATTAATTTTAATATTTAATAAATTATAATTATTATTAATTTTAATTAATTAGTTCATATATTTAAATTTTTTTTAATTATCTATAATCTAACAGATATGATTTTTATATTTATAATTTAAATAATAAATAATTTAATTTAATATATTTAAATAAAATATAAAATTAAATAAATAATCTAAAGATATATGATAATTATTTATATATTAATTTTATTTTAGATAAACTAAATTTATTATTTGAAAAAATATCTAAAAATAATATAAATATATAAATATTATTAAAAAAAATAATTCTTTAAAAATATAGTAAGAAAGTTTTATAATATTTATTAAATTAATATATGAGTATTTGTTAAAAAATTGTAAAATTTAAATAGTATTTTAAATAATAAAAATTTAGATAACTATAATAGCTATCGCTATACTATTATAAAGAAACAATTTAAAAATTCTATTTAAATATAAAATTTTATTAAATTTTATAGTTTTTAATTATTAATTAAAATTATCAATACTTACTGTAAAATCCTAAAAATAAATACACTTTTTTTTATTATAAAGTATTTATTATAGATAAATTTTAAATAAAAAAAATGTAATTTTAAAAAGTCTAAAACTAAATACTACAAAGTCAAATAAATACTATGATTTGATTTGTAAATTATCTTCTTAAACTTTAAAATTAAATATAAAATTATTACATAAACTACGTAATAATTATTTATTCTTCTTATAAAACTTGTATTTCTTACTTAGTTTTAATTACACAAATAAATAATAACATCATTTAAAAAAATTGCTAAATATAAAACTTTTAAATATATTATTTTAAAATTTATTTTATTTCAATTAAGCAAAAGATAGTAGTAGCAAATTACTATGAACAGATAAATATTATGCAATATATATAATGCAAAAGATTGATTAATTTGACAAATCTGATATATCTGATATTTTTGACATATAGGATCTTTGCTAAAAAAAATAGACTCTAAGTATTTTTTATTAAAATATTAATTTTTATTGCATTTTACAGCTAATTTCATAATTTATGGATCACTAATAAATTGCGACTGAAAATATTTTATAATAAAATTACTATAAAATATTGCGACTGAATGTGACTGAAAAATTATTAATAGTCCATAAATTATGAAATTAACTGTAATATAATATTATCAAAAATTAAAATGAATAAAAATTAAAAATTTTAAAAAAATGCTTAAATCACTATTTTTCTAGCAAACCTCCTATATATGATATATCTGATATAATTGACATATTAGACATAGTTGATTAATTAGTCTTATTTGACATATTAGATATATTTATCATATAGGGACGCTTATAGCAAAAGGGAGAATAGGCAAAATATGTAATTTCGAGAAAATTGCAATTAAAGTCATGTGATAAAATTTGCATAACTAATCGAAAATAGCTTTAATAATATAGGATAAAATTTTGTGGGCAATTATCTAAGAACAATAGCCTTATTTTAATACCTTTATAATGTCTTATTTATTATCACAATACACGAGCTTAATAAGTTTATGTAAAAAAAAAAAAGTTTTGCCAATTTATTTATTTTTTTTTCTGAACCTAAATTTTGTAATAAACAAACCATAAATAAATATAAAATATTTTTACAGTATTTGGAAAGATTTTTGACCTGTTCACAATACAATATTTATGGTTCCTTTCCTCTTCTTTTACGGTTTAATCTAAAGATGAGCACCATAATTAAGAAGTTGCAACTTGGTTGCAACTCCTTGTAAATTTATTTAATATAAAAATTCATAAAATGTTACAACTCAAAGTGTTGTAACTTAAGTTGCAACTAGTTAAAATTTTAAAAATAATTATGGGAACTATCTTTAATTGTAGTAGAACGATTAACGATCAAAACTATATCATCTACTATATTTACTTTACTCTTCTGATAAAGAATTTTAATTAAACCAAAACAACTATCACAGATAAACTTTATATGTTCAGATATCATAAAATTTAGCTCAATTTCATCATACATACCACGGTTAATTAACCATGAATAAAAAAATAAAGAATAATTATTTCTATTTTAACTAACACAATTATCATATGTAATTATCAGTTTTTTTTCTTCATGATTATATTTTTGAATTGCATACTGTTAACATGTAATCTTGCGAATTACAACTGTTAGACAGAGTGTCAGAGTTAGAGCTCCGAACAGGTCGGGTCGGGTCGGGTAATTGACTTGACCCGACCTGATAAGGTCAGGTCGGGTCAGACAT